TTTCAAACCGAATCCTTTATTTTGTCCACTGGGGTATATTGTTCTAGTTCCACGTGCCATGCCTTTTCTAGGTATCTCAGTTTCAGGTATTTCCCTTTATTAACTGAACCCTCCAAGTTTTTTGTTTACCTCTGGTGTGGCCAGGTATTGAACTCACAACTCTTTGGGTCAAGTCAATGGAATACTTCAACTAACACTTTTATCCACTGGGCCATGTATTTTTGGGGACATATGGCCCAGTGTCCATCACATATCAAGCATATTCGTATATTCCAACTTCTATAAAGAATAAGGCTGGAAGAAGACTAGAGTGTACAATGGCCAAAATATTATGAATATGAAAATAAATATGAGGACAAAAATTCGAACAATTTAAATAGTGTAAATAGTTACAATATCTCATCTCAGAAATAGAGACAGATCCTGAAGAAGTCTGGCACATACAATGGTTGAAACAATGTGAATATGACAATAAATGAGGACACCAGTTTGAACAATGTAAATAGTGTAAATAGTTACAATATCTCATCTCAAAAATATAGACAGATCCTGAAGAAGGTCAGACCATACAATGGTCGAAACATTGTGAATATGACAATAAATGAGGACACCAGTTTGAACAATGTAAATAGTGTGAATAGTTACAATATCTCATCTCAAAAATATAGACAGATCCTGAAGAAGGCCGGACCTTACAATGGTCGAAACATTGTGAATATGACAATAAATGAGGACACCTGTTTGAACAATGTAAATAGTGTGAATAGTTACAATATCTCATCTCAAAAATATAGACAGATCCTGAAGAAGGCCGGACCATACAATGGTCGAAACATTGTGAATATGACAATAAATGAGGACACCAGTTTGAACAATGAAATAGTTTAAATAGTTACAATACCTCACTCAGAAATATAGACAGATCCTGAAGAAGGCCGGACCATACAATGGTTGAAACATTGTGAATATAACAATAAATGAGGACACCTGTTTGAACAATGTAAATAGTGTGAATAGTTACAATATCTCATCTCAAAAATATAGACAGATCCTGAAGAAGGCCGGACCTTACAATGGTCGAAACATTGTGAATATGACAATAAATGAGGACACCATTTTGAACAATGTAAATAGTGTGAATAGTTACAATATCTCATCTCAAAAATATAGACAGATCCTGAAGAAGGCCGGACCATACAATGGTCGAAACATTGTGAATATGACAATAAATGAGGACACCAGTTTGAACAATGAAATAGTTTAAATAGTTACAATACTTCACTCAGAAATATAGACAGATCCTGAAGAAGGCCGGACTATACAATGGTTGAAACATTGTGAATATAACAATAAATGAGGGCACCAGTTTGAACAATGAAATAGTTCAAATAGTTACAATACCTCACTCAGAAATATAGACAGATCCTGAAGAAGGCCGGACCATACAATGGTCGAAACATTGTGAATATAACAATAAATGAGGACACCTGTTTGAACAATGTAAATAGTGTGAATAGTTACAATATCTCATCTCAAAAATAGAGACAGATCCTGAAGAAGGCCGGACCTTACAATGGTCGAAACATTGTGAATATGACAATAAATAAGGACACCATTTTGAACAAAGTAAATAGTGTGAATAGTTAGAATACAGTCTCCATATATACACATGACACTGCTGATAAAAGGATGGCATATTTTTTCCCAATTTAAGAAATGAAGTGTTTAATCTGTCTGATACTATCATGTCCTGTTCAAATTCTGATAATTCTAACTTGCCAGAAGCAGGCAAGATTTATTCTGGCTCACTATGATGTCATATGTCTGACATCTGCTTGACATCAAAGTATGGTGGTGCCATCATCCATTATCTTGATATAGTACCATCCCATGACTTTTGACACGTCAATGTGGTTATCTACTTTCATAAACATATTGGCAGATATTCCATCTAAATTGGATACTATGACTTTTACATGTATGCACCCCCCACACACATACATATAAACTCGTCAATAAACAAATCTGAATTACTTATGCATATTACTATCCAATCTTGAGTTTGAGGAATCAGAGAGTTGTTCAAATTCCAATCGAGTTCATTACATTCCATTATGTATTAATATCCTTGGGAAATATATGAATCTATTACTTTCCCCAGCTATGGGTAAAATAGCAGGAAAAACTGAGTCCTATAGCCTTGGGTGGTAGCCAGTATAGGAGAAGGAATCTCTGAATTCAAACCAGATCACACTATTCTAAAAGTGTATATACATGCAACTGGGGATTGCTTGTGAATCTAAATTCCCACTGACACTCCTAGTGTTAGCACATCCTCAGATGCAGTGTTAAAAGGAGTTCAATATTCTATAGGGAATGAGAGGAATTAAAAAATAGAAAAATGAAAAAAATCTCATCACTATAAAGCATGTTGGTGCCACCTTCCATTACCTTTATATACTCCTATCTTGTGACTTTTGGCACATCAGTGTTGTTGTCTGCGTTCATAACCTTCTTGGGAGATTTTCCATCTAGCATGATTTTTTAAACCCACACACACAAACTTGTCAGTTTTCAAGTCTGAAGTACTTTTACCTATTGCTATGTCATCACTATAAAGTATAGTGGTGCCATCTGCCATTACCTTTATATACTGCCATCTTGTGACTTTTGGCACATCAGTGTTGTTGTCTACTTTCATAACTATCTTGGGAGATTTTCCATCTAGCATGATTTTTTAAACCCACCCACACACACACAAACTTGTCAATTTTCAAGTCTGAAGTACTTTTACCTATTGCTATGACATCACTATAAAGTATGGTGGTGCTATCATCCACTACCTTTATATACTGCCATCTTGTGACTTTTGGCATGTCAGCATGGTTATCTACTTTCATAAACTTAGCAGATCTTCCATCAAACGTGATTTTTTAAAACTCACATGCATACAGGCACACACAAAGAAACTCATTAATTTTCAAGTCTGAAGTACTTTTACCTATTGCTATCACATCACTATAATGTATGGTGGTGCCATCTTCCATTACCTTTATATACTATCTTCTCATGACTTTTGGCACATCACTGTGGTTATCTACTTTTGTAAAACTTCTTGGCAGATCTTCCATCTAGCATGATTTTTTTAAAACTCACTTACATACAAACAATCAAACTCATCAATTTTCAAGTCTGAATTTGTCTTTAATGTCTACCCAAGTGACAAGACAATGATTAATAACAAAGAAATATTTATTCTGGAAAATATGAGTTCTGTCAGTTGAATAGACAAGCAGTGTATTTAGAAAATTAAGTAAACAGACCCATTCACAAAGGGATACTTGAACACAAGTTTTAACAATGGTGTCTGATTCTGAATTTGTTCAAAGTTTAAAGCTGATGGAATGTTGGCCTCTTGTGTATAGAGAGGTTAAAATTATTCCTCGAAGGTGAGTCAGTCAGTTTGTTTGATTTTTTGGGTTCTCTCCAAAGGTTGAATAAAAAGAGTGATCTCTTACACCAAGTGGTTTAATTTCCATACAGTTACATGAACAAAAAGACAATGCTATGCGTATAATAAAACAGGCGCTAGTTAAGTATTTAACCAAGAAAATTTGAATTTAGAGTGGAATTATAAACATTTGAGAATTTTAAAACTTTTATGTGTTCTTACATAAACAAAGGAATTTCTAAAGAAGTGATGCATTTTTATTTATTAATCTGACAGATTTTACTATGTAAGTAAAGCTGTGGAGATCCATAACTGCCTAATGACCTACATGAAGAGATCTTGCAAAGTAGGAAAAAGATTGTAAATATTACAAGGATAGATTTTTTTTTTCTTAAATGTTATTTTTAGTAGATACCCATATTTGAGCTGAGGCTCGGTTTATTTATTAAACAGTATATTTTCTTATTTTTGTCTGCTAGCCTGAATATTTTAGAGAAATTCTATCAAAGGAAAATATGTGCTCTCTGCCAGATTCCAAACCTGAATCCCTCTGGGGGAACCATTGTTATATCTGATGTGCTTTAGAATTCTCATCCATGCAGCATATCAGATCTAATAATGGTTTCCCCTTTCCAGGAGGGATGCAGGTTCAAATACTACCAAAGAACACATATTTTTCTTTAATGAGATTTTCTCAAATATTAAGGCTAGTAGACAAAAATAAATAAGTATACTGTTTAATAAATAAACCAGTCTAAAAGAAAGCAACGTCACACAGTGGCTGCTGTAAAGAAACTGAATTTGTCTGCAGCATTCATTACTGTATGACTTGATATATCTTACTGGCTGTCATGTGACCCACATGATTTATCTCCACCAAAGGGAGATAAGCATTTTCTGTGTCTTTAGTATTGACATAAAATACAAAATTTATTGCACCCA